AAGAAACCTTCCCAAGCACATCCTCTCACATTTTCTCACATTGAGCCTCATCCTAATGACCAAAACCAGGCAGGCATCATGGTCTTGGTTGTTCAGCTGAAGCCTGGAGTCTAGGAAGGTTGAGCATTTGCCCCCTGGAAGGCTCCGTGTTATTCTAGAGCTTGACCTAAAACTTGGTGTGTTCATCCTTGTTCGTTGTTCATTCCTCCCTTGCAGTGCCTGTCCTCCAATTCAAGTTCAAATAACAGTGTAATGAGTGCTGGTACCTCTAGTGTGTAAGACTTATCCTGGGCAGCAGGGTGATTCAGCTGGTGGGCCGGGAAGCAAATCTGTTTGGGAGGTGAGTTTGGGTTTGAGTCCCAGTTCTGCTACTCATGAACTGTGTGCCCTTGCATGGATGCCTTATACTCTCCGAGTTTCTGTTTTGATCTTCAAAGTGAAGTTGGAGGGACACCTGGGTGGCTCAGTTGGTTAAGCATCTGACTTCGGCTCAGATCATCATCTCATACTTCATGAGTTTGAGCCCTGCATCGGGCCTTGTGCTGACAGCTCAAGCCTGGAGCCTCCTTCAGATTCTGTGTCTCCCTCTCTCTCTGTGCCTCTTTCATTCATGCTCTGTCTCTCTCAAAAATAAATAAAATGGTAAAAAAAAATTTTTTTTAAATGCAGTTGGAAATACTTGCAGGTTTAAGTAAAACAATAGGTGTAAAGTGGCTAGAACAGTGCCTTGCACTCAGTGATTATAAATGGTTATATCCCGCCTGCTTCTTGCATTTATGCCTCTGATGTGTGTTTTCCGATAACACTAAGCAGTTCTCTGACTCTCAAGGGACCGTAGGCCAGTGTCCTATGACTTACATACATTCTGACACTATCTACCCAGAAATAACGTCAGATACCACAGGTGAAGACTCAATCCCACACGACTGTTTCCACCCTGCAGACGCCAATCACACATCCATGAGGTTACCTGTGCTTCTGACTGACTGGCTATCAGAGCTTCCCACGACTTCCTCCCTGAGTTTGATTGATTTACAAGAGCAGCTCACCAAACATGGAAAACATTTACTTACATTTACCAGTTTATACATTTACCAGTTTATTATGAAGCTATTATAAAGGATACAGATGAAGCACCAGATGAAGAGATACACGGGGAGAGGTCTGAAAGCGTCCCGAGAACAGGAGCTTTGGTCCCCACGGAACTGGGGTGCACCACCCTCCTGGCTTGTGGATGAATTCACCAACCCAGAAGCTAATCAGATCTCATTCAAGAGTTTTTATGGGGACCAATCGGCACCCAGCCTCTTCTCCTTCCTAGAGGTCAGTGGGTGGGGCGGAAAGTTCCAGCCCTGTAATTACACAGTGTTTTGGTGATCGGCCCCACCCTAAGGCCATCGAGGGGACTCATCAGTATAAACCTCATCAGTATAAACTCAAAAGGAGCTCTTAATGAACGACCTAAGGCACTTCAACCACTCAGAAAATTTCAAAGGTTTGAAGAGCTCTGTGCCAGGAACTGGGGCCTGAAACCAAACATCTCTCTCCTTCTACCAACAACCCTCTTACAACGTGACATGGCAGATTTTCCCATCAGAAGGCAGAACTTTCTTCTCCAGGCTTTCAGCTTGGCCTTGGCCATGTGACTTGCTTTGGCCAATGGGACAGAAAATGTGACAACGGCAGAGAACTAGAGGTCGTAAGGGCGGTGCCAGAGCTTGCCTTGTACTGCTGCTGAAAACCCATTAGTCACCACGTAACAAGTGCAGGCTGGCCCTGTGGGGGCTGCCAGACCATGTGGAGAGAAGCCCCAGCCACCACAACCCTTCACTGGAGGTCCCAGACACGGGAGAGATGCGATCCTGGGCCAGCCAGCTCAGACGAAAAGTATAGCTTGCTCAACGTGCAGAATCAGGAAGCATAATCAATATTTATCTTAGGCCATTATAGTTGGGGATCGTTTGCTACATAGCAAAAGCTAACTGGTATAGGAACGTACAGCTAGAAACAATAACCAGTTCACCATTCTGGCTCTGCCGGTACCCAGGACAGTCTTTTTTTTTTTTTTTTTTAATGTTTTATTTATTTCTAGGAGAGAGAGAGCGAGCGTGAGCAGGGGAGGGTCAGAGAGAGAGGGAGTCACAGACTCTGAAACAGGCTCCAGGCTCCGAGCTGGCAGTCAGCACAGAGCCCGACGCGGNTCCCTCTCTCTCTGCCCCTCCCCTGCTCGGTGTGCACTCTCTATGAAAATAAATTAAACTTTAAAAAGAAAAAGAAACACACTACTGAAGGGTAGAGGTAGGGCGGGTAAAAAACAATTTTTTTTTTAATTTTTTCTTTTAATGTTTTATTTATTTCTAGGAGAGAGACAGAGAGACAGCGTGAGCAGGGGAGGGTCAGAGAGAGAGGGAGTCACAGACTGAAACAGGCTCCAGGCTCTGAGCTGGCAGTTAGCACAGAGCCCGACGCGGGGCTCGAACCCACGAACCGTGAGATCATGACCCAAGCGAAAGTCGGGCGCTTAACCGACTAAGCCACCCAGGCGCCCCTTTTTTAGTTTTTTTTTTAAAGTTTAGTGTGTGTGTGTGTGTGTGAGAGAGAGAGAGAGAGAGAGAGAGCAACATGAAGTGGGGAGGAGCAGAGAGAGAATCCCAAGCAGACTCCATGCTGTCAGCGTGGAGCCCGATGCAGAGCTTGAACCTATGAACCGTGAGATCATGACCTGAGCCAAAACCAAGAATCAGATGCTTAACCCACTGAGCCTCTCAGCCAACCCCCGCCCCCAGGACAGAGTCTTAAACACTAGAGGCACCCAGTAGGGATCATTGTAAGAAGTTTTAAATTTATTTTTATGGTGCCTGAATTCAGAAAGTTTAAAAGGAAACTAAAATACAAGCAAGCTGCATAAGTCAAAAAGTAGGTGTGAAAGAATAAAGATACAAGTATGGGAGACATACGATGAAACTAAGCCTAAGGCAAAAACCAAACACAGACATACATATCTCTGTGACGGCCATGGGTGGGTAGTAGTCGGCTAGGGCTTCATAACAAAGTACCACAGACTGGATGGTGTAAACGACAGGAATCTATTTTCTCACAATCCCGAAGGCCAAAATTTCAAGATCAAAGAGTCCCCAGGTTTTGTTCCTTCTGTGGCCTCCTGACTTTCCAGCCTGGTTCCCTATGCGTTCCCTAACCCTACATTTTCCAGAGTCTGTTCAGAGGTACACCCACCCCAAAAATGCCCCGCAGGAAGGGATCTCATGGGCAGGGTTTATGAAACATTGCATACTCTATCCTGCCTATTAAAGGTTCTGAGAAGTCCTTCAGTAAAACAGGCCCTGCATAATTCTGCTTAATCTAGCCTTTCCTAAACTCATGCCAACACAGAACTTTTTTGTTGGGTGGTATAGCACATTTGCAAAGCTTTCCTCCTACGATGGTCCACTTGGCTGGGCCACAGTGCCCAGATATTTAGTCCAACATTTTCCTGGATATTTCTGTGAGGATATTTTTGGGTGAGATTTACATTTAAATTGTTGGACGTTGAAAGTAAAGCAGATTACCCTCCATAATGTAGGTGGGCTTCACCCAATCAGTTGAAGGCATGGATAGACTAGAAACACTGTCCTCTCCCTAGCACGACGGCTTTCAGACTTTATCGGCAACATCAGCTCTTCCTGAGTCTCCAGACTGCCGGAGATTTTAGATTTGCCAGCCTCCATAATCATTTAAGGCAATTTCTTCAAATTATCTATCCATCCATCCATCCATCCATCCATCCATCCATCCATCCATCCATCTTCTATGCACGAGTCAGGATTCTCCAGAGAAACAGAACCAGCAGGATATATATGGATATATAGAAGGAGATTTATTATAGGAATTGGCTCATGATATTACAGAGACTGAGAAATCTCAAGATCTGTCACTGGCAAGCTGGAGGTCCAGGAAAGCCAGTGGTGTAGTTCCAGTCCCAGCTGGAAAACCTGAGAAGCAGGAGAATTAATGGTATACATATAATGATGTGGGGGCACCTGGATGGCTCAGTTGGTTAAGCGTCCAACTTCAGCTCAGGTCATGATCTCACAGTTTGTGGGTTCGAGCCCCATGTCGGGCTCTGTACTGACAGCTCAGAGCCTGGAGCCTGTTTCAGATTCTGTATCTCCCTCTCTCTGACCCTCCCCTGCTCATGCTGTCTCTCTCTCTCTCTCTCTCTCTCAGAAATAAATAAAAAACATAAAAAAAATTTTTTTAAATATGATGATGTGTCCAAAGGCCTGAGAACCAGGAGGGCCAATGTCCAAGGGTGGGAGAAGATGGACATCCCAGCCACAGCAGAAAGCAAATTTGCCCTTCCTCTGATTTTTTATTTTATGTGGCCCCTCAACAGATTGGATGGGGCCCACCCGCACTGATGAGGACCATCTTTACTCAGTCTTTACTCTGTTTACAAATTCAAATGCTGATCTCTTCCCAGAAATACCCAGAATAATGTGTTACCGGCTATCTGAGCATCCCTTGGCCCAGTCAAGCTGACACCTGAAATTAACTGTCACAATATATATACACATCCTGTTGGCTCTGTTTCCCTGGAGGGCCCTGACTAATGTGCCCCCTGCCAGCATACACAGGACACAACTGGGGAACATCAGTGCGATGTCTGTGGTCTCAGCTGGACAAATGATCCTGTACTTGACACAGGCAGGCTGTCAAGGAACAGGAAGGCTCACAGACCAAGGTAAGATGCTCTGACCTCACGATTTTTTTAAATTAATTCAAAACATGCAGCAAGAAGCAAGGGGAGAGATCCGGGCTTGGCTGACTCATTTAGGAACAGCGCCCATGGGGTGGTATGACCACGTGCTTGACTCCTGGGCTACGCGATGTTCACATGTCCTGTGTGTCTGCTGTGTCCACCTTCCCCACGGATGGTGGGGCTACTGGGACCAATCTAATAAAAAACAAGTCCTTAAAAAAAAAGACGCTATGCCAAGATCGTTCTTCTTTCGTGTATTTGTTGTTTTGAGTAAATGCCCTTGACTAGAGATGCAGGAAAAGCAAGTTGTTGTTTTTCTCATGAAGGTTAGAAGCTGCTTGGTTTTCAATCCGTTCCAGAAGTGGTAAATACGAAAATGCACATCATCTCTGAGAAGAGTGAAGACGTTTGAGAAGGTGGCAGGTTCTGGTCAGAACAATGGGTTGTACGGGGCCAAGGAGGGGCAGGTGAGGCAGAACACGCATCCTTGCATCTGGGCTCCGCCAAGGACTTGCAACAGGCAGGCGGGGTGGATGCAAAGGTGTGAGCGGAAAGAGGAGGCCATGCAATAAATTTAAAGAAAGAGACAGATGCATATGTAAGTTATAAAACTTGGAAAGGAGACATAAAAGATAAGGAGTGAGAAATGGGAAGCCTGAGAGGTGTTATCTGAACGAATAGATCGAATGAAGGCGACTATTTCACAACAGGATTAGGTAGAAAAATGCAACATCCCCCCCTTTAACCAAAAGAGGCAAGAACTCGCCAGGAAAATCTGTTCTGCTTGGGAATGGCCATTTTTTAGCAACGAGAGTCAGACACTTTGTGGAAGGGAACCTGATAAATGGCTTGTATCTCAGCGGTCAGGAGGGAGGAGGGAAAACAGATACCAGGTAGGCACTGACTCCCTGGAGGAGAGAGGAGAAAGTGGTGAAGAGAGTCAGGCCAGCGTGGGGCCAGGTCACATCCAGTCTGCTGATCTCTGCCCTGTCTCCACACAAGGACTGGCTTCCACGGACAGCTCATCAGCCCACCTGTGTGCCACATGTGGATCCAAAGGGCACTGCTTCATTGACCCAGGTTCTACCTACGACAGACCAGCTGTAGGGAAAGGGTCTTAAATCTCCAGGAATGGAGACTTCTCTTTACAGAATATTCCATTGCCTTGAAAATTAAACTTGATAATGACTCAGCAAGACCTGCAGCTCAGGTTTCCTGCCCCCAGCCCTCCTTAATGTCAAGAGTGATAACAAAGCACCTGGCCAAGGACTTGAATGAGTGGACAGGTCCTCAGCAGCATCTAGAAGGATACAAGGGCATCCCGTGACTACTGTCCACTGATCCCCAAAGCTGCCTGGTCCACATAGGACCACCCCCCACTGTTCCTTCTTGTGCTGTGTGGGAGCTGAGAAAGTCTCAGCCAGGTTTCCCTTCCTGCCAAGCCTGTGAAGAAAGTGGGGGGAGTGCTGGGCTGGAGAGAGCCCTTCTTAACACATGTGAAACTCAGGGAAAGCCGCCTCACGGGTCCCAAACGGACTGTGGGGTCTGCCTGGTGACTCTGCACAGCAGCCCAGGTACCCTGTAGCTGTTTCTGCAGACAAATCGCTCCAGTCAGGGATGTGGTAGCAAGCTTCTCAGAGACCTGGGGCCCCGCTACACACTAGGCCACAGGGCACCCATCCCATGCCACCACCCTGTATAAGTCCAGCAACACCTGAGTTTTGCCATTCCTTCATCTTCTCCCCACCAAAGAAACTCTACCTCTCCTTGCCTAGAAGGGCCAACGAGGCGGCCACGGGCTGGACCTTGCCATTTGGAAGGCTCGAGGTGAGAATCCTTGCTTGTCTCTTCTAGCTCTTACCGTGTACAGGCAACCCTTGGCGTTGCTTGGAGATGACAGCATTCTGGTCTCTGGCTTCATACTCGGCGTGGCATTCTCTGTGTCCAGATTTTCCTTCTCCTATAAGCACACGAGTCATACTGGATTTAGGACCCACTCTAATCCCCCAGATGATCTTATCTTAATTGATTACAATCTGCAGAGACCTTATTTCTAAATCAGGCTGGAATCTGAAGTTACAAGTAGACATGAATTTTGCGGAGATACTAGTCAACCCAGTACAGTAACTTATGGATAAAGAATGCCAGAACTTTTGGCCTGTAGGTATAGCCAACTTTAACTACAGTCTCCCATTTTCCTCCCCAAAGCACTCTGGAAGGATCTTGGGTGTCTTTTTTCCATTCTATAAACCTGGTCTAATACAGGCAGGGCTCAGCTTTCAAATAAAAGAGTTTTCCAGAGCCTTTACAGGCAAGGGCATGTGCTGGTGATACCTGTTGGCCAGGCCAGGCCCTTCAGGATGAGGGGGTGTATTAACACAGCACTGGCTCCCTCTGCCCATCACCCACTCCTCCTTCCTGACTGGAATGTTGGAAAGAAGTAGTCAGACATGATTAGTGAGAGGACTCGCTTCTTGGTTTACTCTTAGGAGTGAGCTGGACCTCCAGGGCCCTCCGTGGGGAAGCCATGCCCAGATCCACCACACACTCCTGCCTAAACTTGGTCTCCAGACTTAGGGAACGTATTTGCCCATAGATATAAGTCATATCTTCTCACCTAGACTTTATCCCTTGTAAAGGTGATCTTCGGGATACATTTCTCAGTTGGGTCAGAATGTGTGTGCTGTGTGATCAGGCACCCCAGACAGAGGCGTGCAGGGCTCACTCTTAGCAACAACTAAGCTCACAGCACTCCACACACCATCCATCCATGTCAGCCTCATTCCCTATATGCCAAAAAATATATACCTGAGGCTTCAAAGAGAGAGCACCCAACCCAAGGCAAGCTTGAACTTTCCATTAAAGGCCAAGGAGGGAATTGATTTCTCTTCCAGTATTAATTTCCCCCACAATAGCTGGTATGCATGCCAAATAAGGCAACAAAGGCGCCTGGCCAAGTTGTGGAAACGAGTTTTAAGGTAAAATCTTCCAAACACCAAAATCTCAAAGGACAGGAAGTAGCTGGCCACCCCCTTGGCCACGGTTCATCGTAACAGAGCCTGTTTCTATAGAACAGGCTTCCACGATTATCTATTTGCAAAAATGTACAAACACAGCCAGCATACTCCGTGCCTGTGGAAAGACCTGGATCAATACAAGTAACAGAAGAATGGAGAAAAGAGAAAAGGAAAGATTTTATCAAGCTTATTTACTTTAAAGGCACCTTAAAGACCTGTACAAACACACCTGCTTCTTCAGGGCCGGGAGAACAGAGCAAACATGTGTCCTTTAAAAGAAATGCATAGAGAAAGAGACACTGCAGCCACAAAGCCAGTCCCCCCAGGAGGCGCTAGCATCTCAGCTAGTGAGGCTTTAATCCACATCAACTTTCAGATCAAAGTCTTCAAAAATGAAGGGGTGCCTGGGTGGCTCAGTCGTTAAGCATTCAACTCTAGGTTTCGACCCAGGTCATGATCTCACCGTTCATGAGCCCGAGACCCGCGTCCGGCTCTGGGCTGATAGCGTGGAGACTGTTTGGGATTGGGGAGCCTGAGGCTCAGTTGGTTAAGCATCCTTCCTCAGCTCAGGTCATGATCTCACGGTTCGTGAGTTCGAGCCCTGTGTCGGGCTCTCTGCTGTCAGCACAGAGCCCGCTTCAGATCCTCTGTCCCTCTGTTTCTCTCCCCCTTCCCTGATTGTGTTCATTCTCTCTCTCTCTCAAAAAAAAAAATATTTTTAAAAATGAGCCTAGGGTCACTGTATGAGTGCAGTTCAGAATTAACCCTACCTCAGGCTGGGGCAGTGGTATGTTGGAGTGTTTGCTGGGCAGTGTTTCACAACTGGACCGCCAGGGGGAGCTGTAGCATCTGCCCATCTCTGGTGTAAATACTCCCAGCCGATGTCAAGATGTCAAGCTACTGGCTGATCTGACTCCCTGAAGGGGACTGGGAAAGAGATGTGAAGTACACGCTGCTGCTTTATACTGTTTCCATTCAACCGCGGCTGAGCATAGGCAATAGTACGCTGGGCCTCCAAACAACTGGGGTTCCTGGGCACCGACCCCGGTGCAGTCAAAAAGCCACTTGTAACTTTTGACTCCCCAATAGCCTGCTAATGACCAAAGCCTCACTGATAACGTAAAAAAGATGATTAACATGTACTGTGTGTGTTAATATGTATTATATACTGTATTCTTATAATAATATCTAACTTTTTCTTAATTTGGGGTTTTTTTGGGGTGTTTTTTGTTTTGTTTTGTTTTTGGTATTTCTAACCTATGTGGTTTGTCTATAACATTTTTTAGTTAAAAATTTTTTTAATGTTTATTTATTCACTTTGAGAGAGAGAGCGAGAGAGCACATGTGAGTGGGGCAGGGGCAGAGAGAGAGGGAGAGAGAGAATCATAAGCAAGCTCCATACCATCAGTGCAGAGCCCAATGCAGGGCTCAATCTCACAAAACGTGAGACCATGACCTGAGCTGAGACCAAGAGTCAGACACTTAACCGACTGAGCCACCCAGGTGCCCTTGTAATTTAAAAACTTTTTCTCTTTAATATTTATTAATTTTGGGGGGCGGAGGGGCAGAAAGAGAGGGAGACACCAAACGAAGCAGGCTCCAGGCTCCAAACTGTCAGCACAGAGCCCGAAGTGGGGCTTGAACCCACAAACCATGAGATCATGACCTGAGCCAAAGTTGGACACTTAAACAACTGAGCCACCCAGGTGCCCCTGTTTTTAAAAAATTATCACAAATCTCCAAAAAAGTTTCCAAAATATTTACTGGAAAAAAATCCATGTATAAGTAGACCCACACAGTTCCAACCCATGTTGCTCAAAGTCCAGCTGTAAAATGTCCTGAAATAATTAGGAAGCGATAGGTTTGAGGCTTTATTACCTTTGTTTGAAATATAATTTAATTGTAAGTTGATGTTTATTTTTAATAATCACTGTTCAACAATGAGCTCACTAAATTTCTGAAAATTTAAAAATTGGCCCGAGTTAGAATAAGCCATTCCAGCCTGTCACTGCCTGGGAAGCCTTTTAAAAATGCCCAAGACCTGTCTCCCTCTCCTGCCACCACACGATGGCCAGAGGCCCCCAGAGTAGGGACCGCATATTTTTAAAAGCTCGCCAAGGGGGCACCTGGGTGGCTCAGTTGGTTACACGTCCCGCTTCGGCTCAAGTCATGATCTCATGGTTCATGGGTTCAAGCCCCACATCAGGCTCTGTGCTGACAGCTCACAGCCTGGAGCCTGTTTCAGATTCTGTGTCTCCCTCTCTCTGTCCCTCCCCGTTTGCCCTGGGTATCTCTCTCTTTCTCAAAAATAAACAAACATCAAAAAAAAATTAAAAAGGAAAAAGAAAAAGCTCACCAGGGTGGTTCTAATGGATATCCTCAGGTGAGACACTGATGTGGTTCACCTTCCATTTTACAGACAGGGAAACTGAGGTTCCGAAGTTTAAATGTCCTGACTGTTGATTACAGTTTGGCCAAGCTGGGGAATGACTATTAGCTCCTTCTGTTTCCTCTCCGGCTCTTCTCACCCTGGTTATGGACGACTTTGGATCTAGCTTTGAAATATCAAGGCTTTGGGGCTCAGTCGGTTAAGCGTCCAACTCTCAAGTTCAGCTCAGGTCATGATCTTATGGTTCATGAGTTCAAGCCCCAAGACCCTGTCAGGCTCTGTGCTGTCAGCATGGAGCCTGCTTAGGATTCTCTCTCTTTCCTTCTCTCTCTGCCCCTCCCCGGCTCTCTCTCTCTCAAAACAAATAAATAAGCTTAAAAATGTTTTTATAATCGAGGAAAAGTTAACACTATTAAAAAAAAAAACCAAAATCAATTCTATTTCTACACCCAGGGTTTTCCACAAACCCAGTCCGTCTCTCCCTGAATATTCTAAAGGGAGCCATGGAGGCTTTTTCTGCAGCTCCACCTCCCTTAAACTTTCCTTTTTTTGGATTTTTCTTCCTTGTTCTTCCCCCTGAGAGTTGAAGGTAACATCCTTTGAATTCTGCACCCCACTCTGAAGCTGCGGGGGCGGGGGGGGGGGCCGCAGGGGACAGGAGTCTTCCCTAGAGTGTCCTGCTCAACTGCTCACACCGAGACCTCAGCCTCCAGCCCTCAGTGAGGAAGCAGTTACCACCCAGCAGGTCTTGAACAAGTTCTCTCCTTCTGTTAGTCGAGAGAACATTCCAGAACTAACTGTGAACTCACCCCCCCACCCAAATATATGACATCTGAGTTTCAGTGGAAGCCGGTACAGTTAAGCCGTGTACAAATACGAACACGCCTAAGCTAAGAATGAGGCCTGCTGATTCCAGCGGCTTCTCTGTCCTCTGCCTGGGTGCCTGGGTGACCTAGCATCAGCAGGGGCTCCTCCCTGTCCTGAAGACAGGCCACTGGGGACCCCACTGCGTGCCCTCACTCACCCCACAGTCAGGAGCGCATCCTCTCTGTGCGGAGCCAGCTGTAAACCCAGGAAACCCTAAGTTCTGAAGGGGATAAACTTTTCACCAGCACCTGGCTTCCTGAACAGTCCTCACGCTCGGGCTCGTCCCACAGCGTCTCGAGAGCGTGTCCTGGCCGCGTCCCCTCCCTGCAGAGGACTGGGTCGGTCAGGAGGCGATGACAGGGCCAGGAGGTTTAGGGTGCAGGACTTCGGGGGCTGGGCTGGAAGCACCAGCCAAGAGGAGGCTAGCACCTCCCCCCTCAGAGCACGCGCACGCCTTTATCCTTTCCTCTTCCGGGGCAGGGGGCAGGGGGCGGGGCTTCAGGCTTCGAGGCCGGAAGGCTTGGAAGCAATATTCTCCCGTCGCAGACAGTTTCTGACCGCCGCAGCCCTGCAGATCGTACCCCGCCCCCCTACCCTGCCCGGTTCCTGAGCCCTCTCTCCCTAAGTCCCAGTTCTAACCCAGGTTCCTGTCACTCCTGTGAGGAGGCCATGTCCAGCGGCGGGTTTCCACACCTGTCCAGCCCTGGGGGGCAGAGGCTCCCGCAGACCGCCGTGGGCCAAGCTGCGTCAGCGTCCCCTCCCCTGCCCCTGTCGAATATGTGTTTGGAGGAGACCCATGACCTCTTGGCACCCCAGCGGCCTCACTGGCCATCCGGGGTCACCACGTGCACCCTCGCTTAGTGTGGACGAGCAAGGAGCCACTGTGAATGAAGGACTCCACAAATGGCCGGGGTCTAGCCAATGCCAGACATGGTCACCCAGCCTCCATTCCTGCAGCCCTCTTCCCCGAGTCTCCTCGGTCCCTATGCTGGCACTGTCATCGGGTCCCCATGGTGTCTTTGTTAGCCAGATAAAATACAGGGCATCCAGTTAAATTTGAATTTCAAATAGACGACCAATAATTGTTAGTGTGAGTATGTCCCATGCCATGTTTTTATTTGCTATGCCTGGCGACCCTCATTTAACGAGAGTACATGTTTCTTGGGATGGGTACCAAGCTTGATTCATCTGTGCCCCCAGCCTGGCACAGGGCCCGGCTCAGGAGCGAGGAGCCAGTAGATGGTGGTTCTCAGCAGGGACGGTACTGCCCCCTAGGGGCAGTTTCAGAGATTGGAAAGGATGTTTTGATTCACCACTGGGTAAATCGAGGAAAGACTGCATTTTGCTTTGTTTGGAACCAAGAGATCTTCGCTGTGTCAGAAATCATTACATCACCGTTTTAAGAAGGCCGCAGCTCGGGCAGTGCGGTTCTCACAGCCTTTCTTCCCCTCCCCCACCCCTCCTGGCTCTTTGCTTCTACTCTCCGTTCTCCTCCCCCTCCCCCTCACTTCCCTCTCCTCACTCTGTTCCCTTTTGCTTCCCTCTTCCTCCCCCATCCAGGGGCAGAAACCCTCATGTGCACTCCGATGGTTTGGAGGACTCAGTATTTTATTTTATTAGGAGACTGAGGTATGACTCCAGCATAGCATGATGCTCTTTACATTCGGGGGGAGGGGGACCCATCACGGGAGGCTCATCAGCTCAGCCATTGTCCTCCCTTCCAGAGGAGAGCTGGGCTAGCCCCGCGACCCCCTCTTTGCCTAGGGGGCCTCCTCCTGACCCGGGCAGGGAGTAAAACCCTCAGAGGCCCCACTGCACCCCAGTCGGCTGTGGGCAGAGCTGCCCGTCACCCTCAGAGCAGCACTGAGGTTACAAGTGATCAAAGAGGAGTTTCTTTGGCGATAGTCTGTGATGGGCCTCGCCTGAGGTCTTGGCACCAGGAGCCCCAGGTAGCTGAGCTTAAAGGCCGCACAACTGTAGGGTCTCTGCTGGAGACAACGCTCTGAGGGTTCTTTGATGCCAGGTGTCCCCCAGGCAGCCGCGGTGCCCTTCCTCTGCTAATATCCACCTCCATCCCCATATATCCAGGTCAAGTTGACAACCACAAGCCAGGCGTGGAGCTTCCTCCAAACAGTCCAGCTGCGGAGTCTGCAGAAGGGAAATCACCTACCCTACTTCTCATTCTCTGTGCTCCTTGGGTAATCTCACAGCCCAGGAAAATGCCTCCTATCTTTCCTTTACAGGAATGCCCTCTTTTTATTGCCTACAACCGGGATCAGCAAACACTTTCTGTAAAGAGCCAGGTGGTAAATAGTTGGGGCTTTGCAGGCCATTCAGGGGTCTCTGCCACAGCTGCTTCATATGTAAGTGAATAGGTGTGGTTCCACTCCCATTCCAATAAAGTTCCAATAAAACTTTATTGATCAAAACATGCAGTGGGCCAGATTTTGCCAACCCCCGGCCTATGAGGCTAAAGAATCTCAAACGTCAGAAGCTTTCCTGTTGGAATCCTGGAGCAAAGCAAGGTGGACTCCCTTTCCTCTTTTCTAGCGGGGTCTCTTGGGCTCTTCCTCATGTGTGCACCGCAAGGGAGGCAGACAGTGTTTCAACTGCCCTGCAGCTCACCATGGCCTCCGAGTCTGGGCTGCCAGCAAGACTGGCTATTCCTCATTCCCTACAAGTTCTTTAGAGCATGCTGCTGCTCATTAAAAACCCAGAACCTCCCGAAGGAATGGACTCCCCTCTGATGTGTCGTTTATAAACTCTCAGAACTGGCCCCGTTTTGAGAATGTTTTATGACTACCTCTTGCTGAGGGAATGCCAAGCCTGTAAAGACGATGAGACGGGAGATTCTGCTCATTTTGCTTTAGAGGAAAGAACAATCAATGGCTCAACTCATGAGCTCTTATGCCCTCTTCCATTCTGGTGCTTCTCCAGTGGCCCAAATAGGACCAGTGACAGAGTGTCTAACTGAGAGGAAAGGAAATGGACATTTTGTGGATCTTGTTACGACAGAGGCAATTCCAAATGCAGAGGGTCCCTGGGGCTTTATTAATGGATTTTCGGACAGTTAGACAAAACAACAGTGTTTTGAAGCCAAAGAAACACAGTGTCTTCCTAGATGATAGATTACGTTTTCAAGAATGAGTGTTTAGATCTCCCTTCAAGTTTTTCAATGAACAAAGTTATGAAGTTAATGTTTTTCCCTCAGAGAAGAGAGTCGTCAGAACAAGGTTTTAAAACTCCTTCACGTGGCTGAAAGAGAGACTTCTGAGTTGAAGAGTGTATTCAATATTCACTAAACACAGTGGGTTTCCTGAGTAGGTGATCTACAGCCTTGAAGGCAAATGTGGAAAGTCTGGAAATGATGCTTTTTGACGAGACTCTGAAAAGACACAAGGGTAGAGAAGGAACAGAGAAGGGGGGAGGGAGGCAAGAGTGCTCACTCTGGACTTTCTTATATTCTTTTTATTTTTGACCCATGTGAATGTAGTATCAAGACGAAGAAATAATTTCTAAAAATTTTTAGTGTTTATTTATTTTTGAGAGACCAAGAGAGACAGACAGAATGCGAGCAAGGAAGGGGCAGAGAGAGAGGGAGACCCAGAACCAAAAGCAGACTCCAGGCTCTGAGCTGTCAGCACAGAACCCCGCACGGGGCTCCAACCCACGACCTGTGAGCTCATGACCTGAGCCGAAGTTGGACATTTAACTGACTGAGCCACCCAGGCGCCCCTCCAACCTGGTTGGTTACGTGGCCACATACTTGATTTTCCTCTTCTGCCCTGGCCAATGGCAGACTCCATCCTATAAATACCCAGCAACCTAGCTGGGGCTCAGGGGGAAGAGCGGTGCTCCCTGGAAGATAAAGGGGGTCCCAGAATTGGTTTTAAGGCACTGCCTGGACCCATCACTGTTCCTATACAGGGTAGCATGGCATTTTCAGGAACATTTGAGTTTACTGATTTATTTCTTTATTTTAATGAGTTCAATAGCATATCCAGAGGAATAGCCAGTAGGTTCATCAGAGATATGTGGCATCAAGAGGGCCTTAGGGCTGTCTGGCCTTAGGTGAGGATCTTGGAGTCTCCGAGCCTCACTGTCCTGGTCTGTAAAATGAGGAAAGATCACCAGCCCCATGGAATTGTGAATCTTCTTAACGTATTAAAGGCCGTTGGTAAAGTGGCTCATTCTCAGTAACAGAAGCAACACCAACAAGCCATCCTGGGAGGGAAGACCCTCACGGAAGAGGCAGATCATTGTCACCCACCGACATCTCCTGACTCCTCAGTTCCTGGGCTCTCCTGCTAGTGTAGCCAGTCTCTTCACTTCTCCTTTCTCCCCAGGCCATCACAGCCCGGGGAACAAATCCCCTTCTCCCTCCTGCCCCCCATGACAGCACTCCTCCTCAAGGGTGCCAGTAGCACCCTGGATTGTTTCTCTTGGGGAGGCTCCCCTGTCTATACATGTAACCAGAGTGCCCTCCTGGATCAAGAGCTGGGCACAGGATGGTTCAGAGCTGGCCCCTCACAGTCTCTCTCTTGGAAATCTGAAGTTTGGGTGGTGGGGCTCCGAGATGGCAAATGGTCCCCTTCCCCTTCCCCCTCCCTTTCCACCAGCCCCACTCTGTTCCAGGCACTCATGAATGCTTTTCCCACCTAGATGCAACTCCAGACCCTTTCTCCAAGAAAGCCCCCTTCTTTGTGAGGAAGTCTCTCACCCCCTGAAACACTTGCCGACTTGCATCCCTTCTTGTTAGCGGCATGCATACCTGTCCCCAACCTCATTCCCTGGCCCTGGGGGGGGGGGGCTGGGACTCTTTTTCACTTACATTCATACCCCCGCCTCTAGAACACTGGCCTGTGGGCCATGAACACTGCGTTTCGAGCGAGGTGGCCCATTCGCTCACAGGAGGGCGTTGCAGAGCAGACACCACCAAGACCCCACAGCCTGGCAAGCATGGCGTCCATCCCCAGGCGGGTAATCTTCTCTAGGTGGTTGTGACAAAGACGGCTGGTCGCAGGGAACAGAGACTGAGCTGTGCAAGGCTGGTGGTTCCAGCTGGTGTACATCTGGAGAATGAATGCGGTGAATGCTAGGGTGCAGCATCCCCTCCTCACCCTGGAAAGAAGCATCTCCTGCAGGGAAGTTGGGCCCCCTCACTCTTGAACTGATGCACGGAGCCAGATGATAAAGGAAGCCGGGATCCTGGGCACCTGTCCCGTAGACGTGCCCTCCTACCCATCCTTCACACGGCGTCTTAGAGGGAGAGGCTATAAGGAAACCCAAGGAGCTGTCAGGGGGCACCAAGGGCCAGAGAAGCAAGCTAGCACCTCGAAGAACCCGTGGGCCCAGGGGAGGCAGGTTCCAAACATGTCCCCAGGACTTGACTCTTGGACACGGGAGCTGACTTCTCGGCTGCCTCCCGGACTTCAGAGACT